AAGCTTGACATAATACATTGTGGGATAGTGGAATGGAATGTGAGCACGCTTGACTGTCACATGGTTCGTTTAGAATAAAAACATCTTGCAATGACAAGGATGACCACGACAACAAGGGTACAAATGACTTATCAGGGTACATTGCTCTTGAAAACTAAACCATCCGTCACATAAAAAAAAAAAAAAAAAAAAAAAAACCACTTGTCACATTATCTGGACATTGAAAACTAAACCACCCGACAAGGGTACAGATCACTGTACTAATCAGAGTGCACTCCTCTTGAGAAGTAAACCCCCTGTCACTTGAGATTTGAACCACCATCCTAATGAGGTGATTAATGTGGTGCCTACTGACTGAATGCATGCTTGGAGATGGCGACGTATATGGCGCCTGCTGACTGTCGACATACTCGCATGCAAGCATAAAACTTGTTGTTGTCGGCTACATTCCAATGGACCTATAATATTATGAATCTGGCACTTCCATGGGGATGGCAAGGTGGCCAATGTGCTGGATCTGGTAGTCGGTATAATTGCTATGCAGTGGTGTGCGATCACTCGTACGAAAATGAATGGGAAGGTGAAGGCGGTTTGCGATTAAGGGACATGCTCAATTTCAAGGGGACCAACGAAACGTGAACGAAGCTTGGTGTCGTGCATGAGCCGAATGATGCGGCTGACCAAAAGGCACAGTCTTCAATGTAGCATGGCATTTTTTCGAATGTGGTTGGTAGTGTGACTCATGGATGCATTTGCAAATTGAATGTGCTTCCTAGCATAATCGTGAGTGAAGGTGATATGGTAATATATAATTAGGCACTCGAGATTGTAGGCGTGAGATCAACACGAGTGGGGGCATTGGGGTGCTAATTGTTTAATGCGAGAAACGGTGGCATGCTTGTGAACAAGTAATCCGTCTTGCTGTAGGCAAAAGTTTCCATGCTGAATTTCTTGTCCCAAAAGGCAATCAACATGCAGGGTGATGCTTTTAGATGATATACTCCGAATCATGCTTCACGCTCTCAATTTGACCATACGTCTTAAGGTCATATGAGAATGACATGGTTACACAAATCCTAACGGGCGTAAAAGCTTCTTTTAGAGCTGCAAGGGTCACCGTCGACGATGGTATAGGGTAAAAATGTGTAGTCGGATGACTTTCTCTACGAATAACATTGCAATAACTAGAAAAAAACAACTGATACTTACCATATGCTTATATGAAATCGACGACAACACACCCCAGGAACGCATGGACCAGGTAATGATCACGATGGCACTTGCCCTTTGTCTGATTTTATACTTGGATGTTACTGGATATGACGACACGTTCTGCAAACTGGACAACGGGTGCCTGCACCATGCGAGTCAATCGTAACAACATCACTCTATCTTGTGGGATCTCGCCTGAGTCTTGGTCGGTCTGTGGCAACGTGATCACGACAAACCACTCCGTAGCGGTTGGATCTGAGGTATATATGGTTGACATTAGAAAAGCTGAGGCAACGAACACATTTGACGAGATACAGGAACTACTTACCCACATACCGGGTGACTAGAACAAAGCGATCTCTCCCAATGACCTGCCAAAGGGGCCATATCAGACACCACGCAACGACAACATCCAACTCCAACGTGTACCTGGTTCGCAACCGACAGTTCATCAACATTTCCGGCTAACATATCTCGAACTCGCCGAACTACGAAAGTTGTCAGAATATGGAAAAACAAATGAATTATGAACAAAGAGCATGGAGGAGTACAAATAGCAAAACTTAACATGCAAATGTGCTAATGGAGGAGTGATTCAACCTTGCCTATAAATAATGAATATAGTTTGACGCAACCTCATAGGCTAGGTGAGAAACAGCTCACGAGCAAGAGAAGCAACAACCTAGGGCAGCTCAACTAGTCCAACCACTGAGACAAGCGATCACAAGACCAGTCAACAGAAAACAAGAAATGCATGTGATGCAACCCAGAGTGGTACAACCGGCCAGCTTCTGGGACAAATGGCCATGTGAAGTTTAGAACGAGAATGGTGAACTAGGAAACGAGCTGGGTACAAATATGAAACCCTAGAAAGCTGTACCCCATACTGTCTACCCCACTACAGCCTAGAAAGACTATAGCATATAAGTTCGACACACCCCCATAGGCAAAGTGGGGGAGAACAAGGGGTCACAAGACCAGTCAAGCAAAGCACAGCAAGCTCAGGGTGGATCCCAACGTCACCACACATTCTGAGCGCAAGTTCAAGGGCCACAAGGCCAGTTCACATGCAAGCATATATATATAAGGCTAAACATGCAAGTGCAAGTATATATAGGTCACAGTACAAGCAAGGTCAAGAAGCGAGCAAGTGAGGCAAAGTAGGTACAAGACCTAACAGAGTACAGAAGCGCTGATGATCACAAGGCGCGAGTGCCTTGGTGAAGATATCAGCAGTGTTGGCCTGAGAGGCCACGTAAGCAAGTCGCAGCTGACCACGCTGCTGCAGCTCACGAGCAAGGAAGTAGCGAAGAGCAATGTGCTTCGTTCTGTGCTCCAGTCTGTGCTCACGACACAAGGCCAGCATGGCCTTGTTGTCTACGTACAGAACTGGAGGCGAACCAGGCTGCTCTCCAAGGTCAGTCAGCAGGTAGGTGAGCCAGCGTAACTCCTGTGCAGCCATGGCCCCCGCGTAGATCTCAGCCTCACAACTGGAGCCGAGAACAGAAGACGAGCGGGTAGACCGCCACGAAACAGAGCCGGAACCAAGGCTGAAGGTGTAACCCTGTGACGACCGCTGCGTAGCCTGGTCGTCAGCCCAAGAAGCGTCTGCGTGACTAGTGAGGACCACTGGACTCCACCCTCCAAGCACAAGCCCCATGCCCGACGTACTGCACAAGTAGCGCAACACCCTCTTCGTTGCAGCCATGTGCTCTGGTCTGTGTCTCCCAGGAGCAACATAGCGTGCCAGAATGCTAAGAGGGTATGCAAGGTCAGGTCGAGTGCAGGTCATCAGGTACATGAGGCAGCCAACAAGCTCTGGGTACGGGCCACTCGACTCTACGGACTCATCCGAAGGCAGAGCTGAGAGCGAGTGGCGAGTAGACAGAGGAGTGGCCTGAGGCGAGGAGTACGTGAAGCCGAAGCGCTGAAGGACCTGCTGCACCATGTGTGACTGAGTCAGGGTAATGGTGCGCTGTGCTCTGTCCCGGGTGATTTGCAAGCCAAGGTAGCTGCGCAGTTCACCCAGGTCTGTGCACGTGTGTCTCTTCTGCAGCTCGGACTTCACGTGGGCGAGTCCAGCAGTGTCAGCTGTGGCAAAGACCAAGTCGTCGACGTACACGAGGATGTAGAACGGCGGCAAAGAGGTGTCGGTGCGCAGAAACAGCGACGGGTCGGCAGTAGGAGCAAACCCAAGAGCCGCAAGTGTAGTCCTCAATGTGTCGTGCCACTCACGAGGTGCCTGGCGGAGACCGTAGACTGGCCGCCGGAGGCTCCACTGGGTGCCAGGAGGAAAAGACCCAGTGAAGCCAGGTGGGCGGCGCAGCCAGATCTCCTCGTGCAGGCTGCCCTGCAAGAAAGCAGTGCTGAAGTCAAGAGAGTGAAGCTCGTAGTCACGGTGAGCGGCTATGTGCAGCAGTACCCGAAGAGTGGTCATCTTCGGGGTGGGAGAGAAGGTCTGAAAGTAGTCAACTCCCTGCCGCTGACTGAAGCCACGAGCCACGTAACGCGCCTTGAAGACAGGCGGAGAACCTGGCGGCCGCTTCACCCTGAAAATCCACATGCCACTGACGATGTTCGCCCCAGGAGGGGGAACCTCGTCGACGTAGGTGCCTGTGGACTTCCAGGAAGCCATCTCTGCATCCATGGCTGCCTGCCACTGAGAGGAGTAGGGACCCTCTATCGCCTCCGCGTAGGAGCGCGGAGTCGGGATGTCTAGTGCATCCGGGTCTCCCTCAGGGGCAAGCAGCATGGACACAAGATGAGGTGAAGCAGCAGAAAAGCACTGGAACTCCTCCTGCCTGTCCTCAAGGACGTCCGTGCCAAGAGCACACTCACCCCCGACGGACGGAGGACAGACAGACGCAGACTCAGCGACAAGACTAGCAGCGTAGTCTAGGCCACAGCGAGCAGCGAAGTCGACAAGCTCAGAAACTAAGGCAGACGCAGCAGCGGACTCAAAGGAAGGGTCAGTGACAACAGTAGCAAGGAGACGCGTGACAGTAGGACTGGCAGCACGAAGGGAGTCCGACTCCGGGTCAGCAAGGACAGGAAGAGAGGACTCAGGAGGAGAAGGCAAAGGGGCACGCAGCGGAGCAGTGGAGGGACGCAGAGACATCCGGTGCGTGCCTGGGACAGGGGGAGGACGCTGACGCGAACCACGACTACTAGTGCGCTCAGCACGAACAGGCGACGCAGGACGAGACGCAGGCTCACGACGCTCAGCAAGACCTCCAGTAGGACCAGTGTAGGGAGAAGGAGCAGGCAGAGGAGAGGTAGGCTATAACTGTGACTCGGACTGGACAGGCGGTGGACACTCTAAGGGAGGAGCCGGACTAGCAGAGGGCGGAAGACCAAGAACCTGCTCAAGGAGCGGAACGAAGTATGGCCGCGGCCGCGCAGCACCACCAGCACCAGAAGGGACAGCACCAGCACCCCGAATGACAGCACCAGCGCCAGCAGCACCCCCAGCTCTAGCAGCGCCAACTCCAGTACCCTCAGAGGCACCAGCACGAGAGGCACCCTCAGCGCCAACACCCTCAGCAGCTCCAGCTCCAGCCGGACCACCAGAAGACACAGCGGGTCCAGCTCTAGCACCCTCAGTAGCACCGACGCCCGCAGCACCACCAGCTCCAGGACGAGAAGCACCCGCAGGACCAGCAGCTCCAGTACTCCCAGTACGAGCACCGCCGGGACCCGCGGTACCAGCACCCTCAGCAACAGCAGAACCGCCAGCACCCGCAGCACCTCCAGCTCCAGCAGCTCGCCTCCAGCGCCGGGCAAACCACTCACGCAGCTCCTGTGGAGAGAGTAGCTCCCGCCGGGACGAAGTACCCGAAGAACCTCCAGGCCCAGCACCGCCAGACGCCACACGAGTAGGTCCAGTACCCTCAGACTCCGCACCCCTAGACGCAGCACCCCCAGGCGTAGCACCCCCAGGCTCAGCACCCCCAGGCGCAGCACCCCCAGAGTCAGCACCCCCAGGCTCAGCACCCCCAGACTCAGCACCCCTAGTAGCACCAGAGTCAACAGCTACCTCGACAGGGTCAACTGCGTCTACCTGAGACACACCTGAGGGGGCAGGACCCTGAGGGGGGAGGGGGTCTACCGGAGGGGGACCTGGCGTAAGGAAGAGCGGCGGCGGGGAGAGGGACGCAGTGCGGTAGGGGAAGAGACGGTAGTAGGGAACCGACTCGTCAAACGTGACGTCCTGAGAGGACAGAACACGGCGCGAGGTGGGGTGGTAGAACTGCCAGCCCGGCGCGTCAGGGGGGAAGCCGAGGAAGACGCGGGGAACAGCACGAGGGGACAGCTTGTCCGCAGACAAGTCGCGGACAAACGCCCGAGATCCCCAGACACGGAACGCAGACGCATCGCCAACCTTCCCCGTCCACAGCAAAGCAGGGGAGGTCTCCGGCATGGAGACCCGGGGCTGAAGGTTGATCTGATGCGCCGCGTACCGAACCGCAAACGGCCACAGAAAATGGGGGGCAGCCGCATGGACCATGGACGTACGAGCGACGTCCATGACCATGCCAATGCGGCGCTCAGCAATCCCATTTTGCTGCGGAGAGTCCGGAAGCGTGAAGGTCTGGCGGATGCCCTGTGCGCGACAGAAGGCTCGCAGAAGGTCAGAGGAGAACTCTCCGCCTCTGTCAGAGTGCAGACGCAGAACAGGAAAGTCCGAGCCGAAACTCTCTCTGAGCTGGAGACGAGCTGCGCGGATCCAGGCGATCAACACCTCAGTGACCTCACCCTTGCTGCGCAAGGGGAAGACTGCGGTGTAACGCGAGTAGTCGTCAACCACCAGCAGGAAGTAACGCTCGTGACCCTGACCACGGACGCGGGCTGGGCCCCACACGTCCATGTGAAGCGTCTGCAGCGGAGCCTCGGTCGGAGGAAACTCGGAGGAGTGAGGAGCAGCGCGTTGCCGCCCCTCGACGCAGGGAACGCAGGTGGGGGCAGGCCCCGGAGGAAGGGGAGGGAGGGACCGGGGGAGACCAGAGACAAGAACACGGGAGGCCATGCCTCGAAGACGAGGCAGGGAGGGGTGACCAAGGCGGTGGTGCCAGAGGAGAGTCTGGTGAGACAGGAGACGACACGAGCAGGGGGCAGACTCAGGACCAGACCTGGACGCCGCAGCAAACACCTGACCCGACGCGGCTACCTGAGCAGACTCAGCGACCGGAGGAGACTAAGTAGTCAGTGTGTACAGGCTCGACCCCGGCTGACGGGTAAACGTGGCCAAGTGACGGCCCGTCCGAGCACAGGTACAGTGGGTCACTCGCTGACTCGCAAGAGTGAACTGGTGAACCCCTCCATCCTGCAGGTCAGCACCACTCACCAAGTTCGTAGAGAACGAGGGGAGGTAAAGACCCGACAGGGTGCCAGAAGGGGCCGCCGGACACGGTAAGACAGTGGAGAAGTGGGCAAGGACAGGACCCCCAGAGGGGTCTGCCAGGGAGACTGCCACTGGCCGACTAAGCGGCGTAAGCGTGGTGCGGTCTCGAAAGAAGGAGCGGGAAGCACCCAAGTCAAGGGTGAAAGTGTGGGTGGCCGGGGCCGACGCGGTACCTGAGAGCGCAGACTCACCAGCACCTGGGGCAGCAGACTCACTAGCACCTAGAGCAGCAGCCTCACCAGCACCTAGAGCAGCAGTCTCAATGCCCGGGTCAGGCGGAAAACACCGGTAACAGTCACCCTCATCAGTAATAGTCACAGAATACATTGCAGCAAGAATAGCATCATAATCAAGATCAAAGATCGCAACACCCGCCCTAGACAGCTCGCCCCAGCGAGGGATCTCAGTAGCGTCGGGGAACTGACGGCGGTCCGTCAGGCGGCCGAAGCAGCGCTGGGTGGAGTGCAGACCCCCACACTGCTCACCCGCGCGGTCGCCTGTACGCAGAACGTAGGTACAGGGGCCAGCACCCCCACCCCGCTGACGAGCAGTGTACCACTCACGAAGCTGCTGGGGGGAAGGGGTCTCACGAGTGCGCTGCTGCTGCTGCTGCTGGCGCTGACCACCGCCGGAGCCGACCCTCTGCGAAGAGCCGCATCGACCAGCTCCACCGCCGCCGCCGCTACCTCCACCACCGCCTCCACCTCCACCACCTCCGCTCGCACCGCCACCACCGCCGCCTCCTCCGCCTCCACTGCCGCCACTAGCGCCCCCACTCTTGCCACCACCCCCACCGCCACCCCCACCCCCTCCGCCGCCTCCACCGCCGCCTCCACCGCCCCCGCCAGCCCCTCCAGCGCCCTTGCCCCCCTTGCCCTTGCCTGGGCGGCGTCTCCCGCTAGGGGCAGACGCCGCGCCGACTGACTCAAGACCAACGAGGTCGGCCGCAGCAGCAGAGGCAACAGAGGGCAAGAGGGGGGAGGGGGAGCACTACTCAAAGACAGGGGTGCGAGGGTCACCACGAGAGGCTCCTACAGCGACTATACTCTTTTCTGCCGCTAGGAGGCGCTCCTCGAGGAGGTCAACGGTGAGGGTGGTGGGGCAAACAGAGAGGAAGTGGTCCCTGACCGAGCGAAGGGTGTCAGGGAGCCGGGTGACTATGTAGTAGAGGGTGATGTACATAGGGGGGGGGTTCTTGGCGCAGAACTCAGCAGGAAGCGCAGCGCGGTAGCGAATGTCACTAGTGCGAAGGTGCGTAATGAGGTCAGCGACTGTGGGAAAAGCGGCGAGGTCAGGGAAGAGGTATGGCAGAATGAGGCGGCTAAGGGCAGCAGTGGCAGGGGAAGAGTAGCGTGCAACGACAGCGTCGTACAAGGTCTTAGCACTCTTGTACTGACTAAAATGCGCGCGCTCAGCGGTCGGTAAGTGGCGGCGCACAGCAAGGCGAGCAGCAGCATCGCGCGTGGCCCACTGTGAGCGAACAGTGGCATCAGCATCAGCAGGCGGGGCAGGAGAGGCACCAGACGTGAGATCGAAAAGGGAGAGACCGTCTGCCCTATCGCACTGTAGGAAAAGCTGCAAGTCATCGACCCAGACCTCAAAGTCAACAGCCCGACCCTCAGCATCAAAGGTAAGGACACTGGGGGTAGCCATGACAGCAGCAGTCTAGGGGTGAGAGCGGCAGGCTAGAGGTAGTGCATTGGCAGAGATGCTGCTCGGGAAAGCTCTTACCAATCCGAGTGGGGAGGGCCGGGGCGCGCCGGCAGGAACAGGGCCGCAGCTGCGGCGGCGGCGGTTCGGCGGCTCAGCAGCGGCTCGGTGGCTCGGCGGCGGCTCGGCGGCTCGGCGGCGGCTCGGCGGCTCGGCGGCGGCTCGGCTGCGGCTCGGCAGCTCGGTGGCTGCTTGGCGGCTCGGTGGCGGCTCGGCGGCTCGGCTGCAGCTGCGGCGGCTCAGTGACGGCGGCAGCAGGGCCGGTGTAGGGCGGCGACGGGGCCGCTGAAGGGCGGTGGCGGGGCCGCCAGAGGGCGGCGACGGGGCCGCTGGAGGGCGGCGACGGGGCCGCTGAAGGGCGGCGGCGGGGCCGCTAGAGGGCGGCGACGGGGCTGCTGGAGGGCGGCGACGGGGCCGCTGAAGGGCGGCGGCGGGGCCGCTAGAGGGCGGCGACGGGGCCGCTGGAGGGCGGCGACGGGGCCGCGGTAGGGCGGCGGTGGGGGGCCGCTAGAGGGCGGCGACGGGGCCGCGGTAGGGCGGCGACTGGGCCGCTGAAGGGCGGCGGCGGGGCCGCTAGAGGGCGGCGACGGGGCCGCTGAGGGGCGGCGGCTGGGCCGCTAGATGGCGGCGCGAGGGGCCGTAAGGGGCCGTGAGGGGCCGTGAAGGGCGGCGACGGGGCCGAGACGGGGCCGCGAGAGGCCGTGAAGGGCGGCGACGGGGCCGTGAAGGGCGGCGTCAGGCCGCGAAGGGGCCGCGAGGGGCGGCGCGAGGGGCCGGAAGGGGCCGCGAAGGGCAGCGCGAGGGGCCGTAAGGGGCCGCGAGGGGCCGTAAGGGGCCGCGAAGGGCCGTGAAAGGGGCCGCGAGGGGCCTTAAGAGGGCTCGTCGGGCCGCTAGGGGCTAGGGACGCGACGGGAGGGAGGGCACACGGGGCGCGACTCGGGCAGGAGGGAAGCGCGCTCCGGGCAGGAAAAAAAAGTTGATCGTGGTGGGCCCTAGGAAGCGTTCCCACTAGGGAACCTGCTCTATACCATGTGAAGTTTAGAACGAGAATGGTGAACTAGGAAACGAGCTGGGTACAAATATGAAACCCTAGAAAGCTGTACCCCATACTGTCTACCCCACTACAGCCTAGAAAGACTATAGCATATAAGTTCGACAGGCCATAGTGCCGGTTCATGAGTCCATACAGCATCACAAGTAGGACAATATAAGCAGGGCAAGACTAGAAAAGGTGAGACTTGAGATCACCTTGCCAGAAGAAGACCGAGCTGCATGCAGAAACGGCAGTGATCATCATGCTCGAGTGCCTTGGTGAAGATATCTGCAGTGCCGGCCTCTGAGTTTACAAGAACCACGTGTGCGTGGCCACGCTTCTGCACTTCTCGAAGTATGAAGTACCACAACTGAATGTGCTTCGCCCTCCAGTCTCGGCTCGCGACACAACAGGATCATGGCCTTGTTGTTCGCGAGCAAGATCGGGGCAGAACGAGGCGGCTCACCTAAGTCTGTGAGCAAGAACGTAAGCCAGCGGAGCTCCTGCGCAATCATAGCACCAGCATAGATCTCGGCCTCAGCACTCGATGAAATACCAACCGACGACCGAGTCGACCTTCACGAAACAACTCATGTGCTAAGGCTGAAGCCCAAAAAGGACATGTGAGTCTCTGCGCAGTCTGCACAAGAAGCGTTGGTGTGGCCGGTAAGTAGAATGGACAGGCGTTCCCCCCTCAAGCCCCATGCATGGTGTACTCGCCATATAGTGGCAATACCCTCTCAGCGGCGTCCAGAGGACGTGTCGGTGTCTCCCTGTCAAGACAAAGCGAGCAAAGCTGCTGAGAGGTAACGTGATGTCTGGACGTGTGCAAGTCATCAGATACATGAGGCACCCCACTAGCTCTGCGTACTGACCACTAGGCTCAGCAAGCTCATCAGAAATAGGAGCCATGAGCCCATGGTCAATTGCAAGAGGGGTGGCTTGTATTGAGGAGAACTGAAGGCAGAACCGCTCGAAGATCTGCACCATGTGTGACTGAGTCAAAGTGATGGTGCGCGCCGCTCTATTCCTAGTGATTTGCAAGGCAATGGTGCATCTCACCAAGATTTGTATAGGTGTGTCTTCTCCGCAGTTCTGCCTTCACCACGTAACGCGCCTTGAAGACAGGCGACGAACCAGGTAGCTGCTTCACCTTGACGATCCACATGCCATCGACTATGTTCGGCCGAGGAGGGAGAACTCCGTCGACATAAGTGCGTATGGACCTCCAAGATGTCATCTCTGCGTCCATGGCTGCTATCCACTGAGAGTTCCACTCTCTTGAGACCGCCTCAGTGTAAAAGCGATGCGTCGGGATGTCAAGGCGTATGGGTCACCCTCAGGGGTGAGCAACATGGCACAAAGGTGAGGAGCAACGGACGCAAGAAACTCCAGCTCGAACTGCCTGTTCTCAAGAATGTTCAAGCCAAAGGCAGGAGCACCCCTGACGTACTGAGGTCCGCTAGGCCCAGAAACTAACCGAGATGCGTAGTCAAGGTGGCGGGTGGAGGCAAAGTCAGCTATGGCAGCAACAAGAGCAGAGACAGACTGTGAAGGAGCAGTAGGATCGGTGACTAGGGTCGACAGGACTTGAAAGACCATAGGCCGAGGGGACACATGATGAGACGACCGAGGGGCAGAGGGAAGAATAGGAGGCAGAACATGAGGGGGAGAAGAATGAAGGCTCATAGAGTGAAATCCAGGAACAGGAGACGGGCAACGAACACCAGGAGCACGACAAGTAGTCCAGGGAGCAAAGGTAAGAGACGGGTCAAGATGAAGAGGAGGTAAAGGAGGCAGACAAGTAGGAAAACTAGCCGGAGACGGATCCAGGAGGGGCAATAGGGAGAAGGAGGGAGGCTCACTGGCTGTGGAAGGACAAGTAAGTACGCCCTGGTGTAGCTGCAGCTGCGGTTGCCGGTGTTGCTGCTTCTGCGGCTGCGGTTGCAGCTGCGGCTGCTGCTGCTGAAGCTGCTGCTCTTGTGGCCTCAGCGAGCGTTGCGGGGCCACCACAGCACCCCTAGCTCCAACACCCATAGAACCAAACCCTTCAGCTCCAACACCCCCAAAACCAGTACCTCCAGCTCTAGTACCTCCATGACTACTACCTCCAGCGGGGACACCCTCCGCAGCTCCACCTTCCGCACCCTCAGAGTCTATAGCGTCCGAACGTTGTGAGGCCACGATAACACCCTCAGAACCAGCACAACACCTCCAGATTGAGTACCTCATACACCAGCACCTCCAGCACCAGCACCCCCAGAATCAGAACCTCCAGAGTCAGCACCCCCAGGACCACCACTCTCCACAGCTGCACCCTACGTAATTGCACCTCCGATACCCTCCGATTCAGTAGCGACTGGCCGCGGTGACGACAACTGCTGCGGCTAGAACGAAGGCCACTACGGGGACTATGAGGAGGAGGCAGGGGAAGGCAAAGACAAAGGGGCGACCCGCAACACACCAGACAAGGCAGGACGATGTAGGTGAGAAGCTACTGAGGGAGTGGGACTAGGGGGATGGTCAGGAGAGAGGAACAGGGGGTCAGAGACAACCAGGATGCTTCGGTGGGGGTGAGGAGTGTAGAAACAGACAGACTCGTCCAAGGTTACGTCCTGAGAGGTGAAGAACCGGTGAGACGAGGGGTGGTAAAACCGCCAGGGGGCTGCGTCTAAGGGAAAGCCGAGGAAGATACAGGGAATAGCAAGGGTCGCGAACGTGATCAAGGCAACCTTAGGCGAGAAAAACAGCCACAACACTAGGGGACCTATTCCAGAGGCTGGTTTGCGTAAGTTGCGGGCGCGACATGTGGCCACAGGTTAAGCTGGCGCGCGGCGTACTGGACTGCAAACGGCCGCAATAAATGGGGTGCTCTGGCACGGCATATGGAGGTGCGAGCAATCTCCATGACCAAGCCAATGCGTCACTTAGCAACCCCATTTTGCTGAGGCGAGTCACGCTGCGAGTACGACTGGTGGATGCCCTGCGCACGACAAAACCTCTCAAGTGCATCGAATGCATGGTCAGATGCTTATTGGCGTATTCATTGACCGCTACTGAAGCAACCCATTATTCACATATCGAAGAAATTTGTTGAAGTAGGGATCATGTAGAGACAAGATCGGCCACATCTAGGTCTCGATGTATTCACTGGAGGCACACGATGGAGATACTTCGTGCCGTTTCGAAGTAGAATGACGAGACAATGATTGTTGCGGCAATATCAATAGCCGGAGCTTCTAATAGACGTGCACCGCCACGTAGAATTGTGCCCCACGTCCCATGTGGTGGAATCGTTTGGGAGAAGCAGGCATGATAGTTGCAGCTGCTTTTGCCGCACGGATATGTCGGCCATCAAATGACCATGAATTTGGTCATGATGTTCCCAGTTGGAGCTAATGGTACCGACACGATCACGGTCGTTGTCGACCGTCTTGACGGAAAATGTTCGCTTTGTCAGGTGCACAAATTTAATCTCCATCGAAAAAAACTGCTATTTTCACCGCGATCGCAATCGTCGTTCGACTACGTGGGATACCAGGCGTGACAATCAACAACCGTGGCATGAAGTCACAAGCAAGTGCTACTCATCCTACCAACTTTGAGAGTGATGGATGGATGAAATGGACCAATCAAACCATCTATCACTTAATACTTGTGATACAAAATCTGATGACATTGAACAACAATTGTCGCTCATCGCTATTTATGGTAAGATCACACAGTACCCATGATCTCGAATCCTAAGAATTTGGCATCCCGAAGGATGCTAAGACCCGAGCAGCTGGAGCATTGCAAGGGGTGAACACATTGCTAAGCGCAACGGTAATCGACATCACCAAACCGTCTAACCTGCTAAGAGACCTCATTCTACTACTCGACACTTGATGCCTTTGATTGCCCATCCCTC